TTTCCACTGTTGTTTTTTCTTCTGTTTTTTCTTTTTCTTGTCTTTTTCTCTGATACCTCTGTTCTGCTTTCTACACTATACACATATGTGACATCGTCAAAATAGTCAAAAATGCTCTTTTTTCTTTTTGTGCTGTACTTTTATCACCTGCCTACATATAACCGGTGAGAAATTTGCACATTGCAAAAAAACACACAAAATATAGTCACTCATTGAGTCATTATTCACCAATCTTCTCTTAGAACTAAAATGAGTAAACTACATGTGATGGGAGGAGCTGCTTTTATCCTCTGTGGGGAAAATCGTAGCCACCCATCGTAGGAACGAATTTTCCCAGTTATTCAGTAATTTCAAGACAAATCTTCAATACTTTATTATAAATAGAAGATATCTATTGCTATTAGGCTATTGCATACACAACTGTTAGTTCATATTCAGTTAAGAAATAGCACCAAAATGAAACCTCATAATGCTGTAGCAAGTAATGTTTATGATAATGCACAAGAAAGTGGATATGAGACTCAAGAAAAACCACATCCACATCAGCAACAAGCTTCGGTTCACACAAGTGATGATTGCGATAACAAAAAACGAAAATGTTCATCATTAGAAGAGCATACCTTTGTTAGTAGTACAGACCCACTTATCCCGTGTGTATTAGCACATTGGGGTTGTCGCGATAAAATACGCCGATCTGAAGTACATGAACATTGTTTAACAAAATTACATCAAAATTGTTTATTATTATGTATTCATCATTACGTTTTGACAATTCACGCAGGAATGAACAATATACAAATATCTGCTGATCGATCAAAACCGACGAAAACTGACAGTGATCTATCATATACAGAATCTATCAGTGATTTATATGAACAAAATACACAATTGTACGAAACACTCACAATTCTAACCGGTGGTATTCAAACATTGATGCAAGACGCGACACGAAGTACTAATGATTTTGCGTATTTAACCAGTTCTGTGAATCAATATTGTCAAGAAAAAGTGAAGTTGCAGCAGGCAGTAGAAGAACAAGGCGTACAATTGCGTAATATACAGATGAATCAAGATATCATTCAGCATGAATTGACTTTGGCTAAACAAACGATGAATAATTCACAGCAGGCGAATTACGACGGGACATTTATATGGAAAATAACTGATGTTGCTAAGCTAAAGATAAGCGCTGAATCAGGAAGACAACCAAGTATCTATTCACCACCGTTTTATAGCTCATTCAATGGATATAAAATGTGTATGCGATTATATCTGAATGGCGATGGACTTGCCAGAAGCACGCATATATCACTGTTTTTTGTTCTGATGCGAGGAGAATATGATGCCATATTAAAATGGCCATTTCATTTTAAAGTAACATTCTGTCTGTTTGATCAGTCTGGTCAACAACGTCACATTATTGACTCATTCCGACCAGATGTCAAGTCAGATTCATTTCAAATGCCTAAAACTTCAATGAATGTTGCCTCGGGAATACCGAAGTTCTGCCCGTTACCGATGTTAATGCAAGATGAAAATAATTATATAAAAAGCGACACCATGTTTATAAAGTGTATCGTCGATTTTGGTGAAATTCCGAAAATGATACTACCGTACACACTCAGTCTCAATATTGGCCTACCCGATTACGTTCAAAAACACATGATTAAAACTGAAATTGAGCGACGAAATCAGCTATCATCACAATCACAAACAATCAATTTACCATCAACATTTCAGTCTTGTGCGTAGACTTAGCAAAGTATCAATCTGTAAACGCAAATATCGTTTAAATATGCTGGAAGTAAACAATAAAAGACTCCAAAAATAGTAAGTATCCATCTAAATTTTGTTTGTATCAGAACATGATCTTTTAATTTACGATCATCTGAAAAGATCCTTCATAAGCAGATCTTAGCCTTTTAAGATCTCGTCTTTTTCTTGTTGCTGTTTATTTTTGTAAACGAAAACGAAACATTTAAATATTGACAAGAGAGTTGTTTGTGTATATACAAAGGACTGCATACAAATTATGTTAATTTCCAAAAAATAAAATACTGATCGCCTCCAAATATGTTATATAATCGAAAATAAATAATTTCATAGTTTTTGATTGAAAGTCCATACGATTCTAACGGATGGACACTAAGTCTGATACAATTTCATTCATTTTTATCAGGAAATTTTGTATCGGCAACATATTTTGATAAACGTTCACATGACAGTACAGCGCCAATGATCTGAAGTTTTTGTTCCACTATATTATTGTAAATTTACCATATTATTTGTAAATGTTTTATCTTTCGCATTTCTTGACACAACTTCAAAAGTTTTTTCTACTTCAACTGATGTCGTCAGCGAAAAAATACAACCAAATATAGCAACAATAAACAACATTGTTGTTCTTTGAACGTGCATGATCAACTAGAAGAATATCGAAAAATGTTTTCGTTACATCATCTTGCCATCATTCTCATGTTTGTGGGCTCTAACTAGGCATGCAACAGTTAAAGTTAACGGTATAAACGTAGGCACGTATTCTAGAATTAGGCTTACACCAGCTGTATACATTTTAAAACCGTCGTCACTCTTAAAATGAAAATGTATAAAATCGTACAAAACTAACTTTCTCTCGAACATTTGCCTATAGTTATGAGCAGATTTACAGGTACAGTTAAGTGGCAAAAAACTGTAACAAGCTCCTCCAACGGTGATTTTCTACGAAAGCGCTCGAACATCTTAGATTTCGCTAGTTTGATCCGTGAAATGGAAGTGTCCGACATGTGTAAAAAGTTTAATTCAACGTTCCAAAACAGTCTTTAATCAGCGTAACCCAGCATATTAGAAAATTCTCTGAATGTGTTTTACTTACCGCTAAAAGGTATTGGATGTATATAATATGTGACAATAAGAGGACCAACGACCATGAACGAACTACATTAAGTGACAATACGTTGTATATATCTCCACTATAGACAGACTACTGAATAAAGGCGCAGACAGATACAAGAAGAGACAGACTGTCAATAATGTACAGAACGGATGCTGATTATGTTAGCTCTATATGCAAAATAAACTATGCTTTAGTCTAGATCTTTCTCTATAACTGTGCCGATGAGGATAGAGTGAGTCGCTCTATAACTATGGTGTGACAATCAACAGAAAACTCATGCTTGAATAACAATTTTCAACCATGGTATCAAACAAAACTGCCTCTGTGCGGCGGTAGCTCTATCTTCACAA